TTTGACCTATATTAAGCTAAGGTCCAATTTTATCAATTAAACCTCAATTATATATCATGACCTAACTCATAATGCAATTTAGAGGGAATTAAGAAAAATTGAGGTACCATGAGTCGATCTGATTGAACCGAGCTAACCCAGTTCGAATAGGGCCAACCCGATTGAATCCAGTTTGACCCGAACCATTAGGCAATTGTCAATTTAGCCCAATTGGGACTAATTAGGAAAATTAAGGCAAAATTGGACAACTAAGGAACCTCGAGCCAACCCTATCGAACCGGACCAGCCCATTGGCCGAACCCGAGTGGTACACCCGGCCCACCAAGCTAACCACCATGCTGGCCCAAGCCAGCCTCACAACCAGCCCTCTCTCTCCTTTAGCTCAAGAAAATTACAAATTGCCCTTTTTGAAATTACCAAAATGCCCCTGGCCATGGCAACAATCCTTTTGAAGGTCTAATCTCAACCTTTTTGAACCACTTAATCTTGGCCATTCATGGTGACATGTCATTAATCCTTGTGACACAAACTCAGCCAATAAGAACATAGCTTAATCACTAAAGGAGAACCCCTAGATCAATCCTAGGGCCCTTCTCTCTCCTCCCTCATTATTCACTCAAATTTCAGATTATACAACTCACTCTCTCTCTCTCTCTCTCTCTCTCTCTCTCTCTCTCTCTCTCTCTCTCTCTCTCTCTCTCTCTCTCTCTCTCTCTCTCTCTCTCTCTCGGAAGTCACGATTTCCACGTCGGTAAGTCTAATCGGCTAGATTTCGGGCAATTCCGACTTTGCCCCGGTAGCTTCTTAATGCTGGCCTTTTGCAACCTCCCTCTCTAGTGTCTTCCCAAGGTGGTGGCTATCGACACTCCTCCAATTGATCACCAAAAGTCTATGAATTCGGTTGGCCTTGATCCTTGCTCACCGATAGTGATAATCAAAGGTAGTTCCTCAACTTTGTGTGATCATTTAAGATGATCATCCGGTGGAGCAACATTGATTCATAGTCTATAATCGAAGTATATCCTCGATCTATGATCAATAGAGGCCAGGATGTCATAAATTATCTAAAATAGAGAAGAAATCATCTTATATCTAGGAGTTGTTTATCTAAGAGTTGTTTAATAAACTCTAATTTGATTTCATTATTAGATGAGCTTTAGGATTTCAATTCCATCCTAGCCGAGCATATCTAGGTGATCATCAAGGTGACTTTGATTTTTCTTTTGTTGATTTTATTAGAATTGCATGTTTAGGCTAAAGCTTAGTCAATTGAGGTAGATAATCAAAATTGCATTTTAGAATTCCCCTCACATGGCCAAACCTCATAGGGAGATGTTTCAAGCATGATTTTAGATGTTGATTGTGTTTAGAAACGTGATTACTATGTGTTTATTTAGAATGCTTTCTGTCCACTTGTCATTTACTTCTTGCTATATTTGCCCTATAACGCGTCAAAAGTTGTGTTATCTATGTTAGCTATATTTACTAAGCATCAGTTTGTTGTCATGTGTATAGACTGCACGCTTGTGGCTCGTCTGTTGCACGCGGGGGGCACGCCGGTTAAGGAAGGAGAGTGCACGAGTATACAAATACCGAGCATCACAATTCAATCCGTTTAAGGAAGAGAGGAAAATATAAGATCAGAATGTGGAGGTTGAAGGTAGCAGAGAGAGAAAACGGTCCCTACTTGTACAGCACCAATAACTACGTGGGGAGGCAGATTTGGGAGTTCGACCCCAAGGCCAGCACCGTGGAGGAGCGTGCCGAGGTCGAGGCCGCTCACCAGCACTTCTAGACCACCGCCACCACGTCAAGCCCTCCCACGACCTCCTTCAAGTGGTACGTATTCCTACTTGGAGCGATTGGACAATTAGAGGTGGGTGAGCACCATGCTAGCGGACAAGTGTCACGCAAAGTCCTAGCCCACAACCCGACCCAAGCTCTCTCACCAACTCGGCGAGCTGATATATGGAGTTGCCCATTATTCAAAGATAACAATTTAAGGAGAAAAAATATAAATGCTCCAATACGCCCTGTAAGGTGTGGATAGAACGTGTAAAAACTTGTAGTAGATCCTTTACATCTCAATAATAGTTTAGATTAAATTACAATGAACTGTGGATACGTCGTCATCATAGCTTGGGTCCTCTGTTCTTGGACCGCAAGTCCTTCGGATCTATCTCTTATGCTTATGAAACTTGTGTTTTCTCAATATGGAAGCTGTGATGGTATGCCTTTCTTCTTCAAAGGGCTGTTGACGGTAAAGGAACCCGCCTACGATACTCTGCCAGAGCCCACAATGGGTATATGTTCCTGTAAGCAGGCATAGTTCATGCTTCGATCATGTTGTTTCATTGTAAGGCAAATCTTACTGATCGAGTTCTCTATCTCTAATTCAGTTTTTTTTTTTTAATATTTGAACTAGTTCCCAACAATGTTTCGAGTAATTAAACAAACTGTTTGGAAGATAATATGACCCATCACAAACCAAGAGGTTTGCACCTGATTTGATCTGTTTCCTTCAAGTGGTACGTATTCCTACTTGGAGCGATTGGACAATTAGAAAATTCAAGATTTCCATGTTGCCAGAAAAGCGAGCAACAAATATAGCTAAAGCTGAGCATGTTGTAGAAGGTCACTCTAGAAACTACCTTCTTTGGGCAAGAAAGATAGCTGCACAACTGCCATATGACTTGCCAGCAGCAGCTAGTCTTCCAAGCGCAAACCACGAGCCGTACGTAAAGCAGACTCCCCGGTTCCCATACCTGCAAAATTGCTCAATTAGTTAGTTGTTTCCTTAATTTATCCAAATTCTTCAGAAGTACCTTATGAAAAACGAACATACCATGAGCCATCTGGATTTTGTTCATTCTTGAGATATTGGACGACATTTGACATAAAATCCTCAATCTCCTTCTTCTTGTGCCTGGGAGACAACTTTCGGAACAAAACTAACGCATGGATAGCTGAGGATGTGCATTCGACATATTCATGCTTGATGACAATGTCCTCAAAGAACTGTCGGATTTGGGATACAACTTCTGGAACAATGTCCTGATAACATGTTAAAAGTCGTGTTATTTATGTTAGCGATATTTACTAAGCATCAATTAGTTGTCATGTGTATAGACCGCACGCGGGTGGCACGCTGGCCGCACGCGGGTGGCACGCTGGCCGCATGCTAGGGGCATGGCGATTAATGGAATCCCAAGCTGGGAACTGTTGAAGGCACGCTTCGCTAGAGATTGGCTGCTAATTAAGCGAAATTCATTCCTCTATATCTTTAAGACCACGCAAATCACAATCATGTCGTTAATTGCCTTGACGGTGTTCCTAAGGACAGAAATGCATGTCGGTACAGTGGAAGATGGAGGGAGTTTTTGGGAGTACTGTTTTCCAGCTTAATCAATGTGATGTTCAATGGGACAGCAGAAGTTACAATGACTGTCTTCAGGCTTCTCGTCTTCTATAAGCAGAGAGATTTCTTGTTCTATCCTACTTGGGCATTCGACTTACCTATTTCGGTCCTCAGGATTCCCCTGTCCTTTATGGAATCGGGGATATGGATCATTCTCACGTACTACACTATCGGATTTGCCCCTGCTGCTAGTAGGTAAAGGAGCTCCAAATTATGACATTATGTTCCAGTAAGATTTTTCTTGCTCATGACCGCTGTTTGGGAACTAGCGTCAGAGAAAGATCTGTCGCCCACAACACAAGCAAAGCTGATATTTTTTGTGCATCTTTCATTCAATTGGCCATTGGTCCATTGATAAGTTAGGCAACTTAGGCGATTCCCTGGTTTTGCATAGGTGAGTTTTTGATGATTTATTGATGGCGTCGACTCTAGCAGGCGATGATCTGGCTAGATCCACCAGTAGTTGGCGAAGCTGAGCCTTGGGGAGCCACCAGAGCTAGGCCTCCACGAGCTTCCGGGAGGCGTAGAGCTAGGCCAGACGTGTTCGTACAGAGTGGAGGCACGACGAAGACGAGTAGCTCCAGTGGGCTGCCATCGAGCGGCTACTGACGTATGATCGCCTCTGAAAAGGCATGCAGAAGCAAGTACTTGACATTGGGAGGGTGGTCCAGCATGAGGTGGATGTGACCAACCTCGGAATGCAGGACAAGAAGCAGTTGATGGAGAGCAAGGTTGCAGAAGAAGACAATGAGAAGTTCTTGAGGAGATTAAGAGACAAGATCGATAGGTAAGCGAATTGTTTTTTTCGGGTTGATCATATATGAATTTTGTTCAGTGTTGTTCTTTTTGAGTGTTTTGGGATTGATTGGGGCGTGACTTCATTATTGAGTGCAGGGTTGGGATCGAAATTCCGAATATTGAAGTCCGGTACGAGCATTTATTCATGAAAGGAGATGTTAGAGATATTTAGATTTCTTCTAAATATTGCATGGGGAGCACACCATTCTTCCCGTGCAATATATGTGCAATCTTGAGTTTGAGAAGAATGTTAAAGATAATTAGAGTAGATAATTAGAGTTTTCTATAGGATAATTCCTTATGTTAGAGATATTTGATTATTCTGTTGATTATCTGTATCTCTCAAAATTGCACGTATCTTGCACGTCTCTTGCATGATTGTGCATATCTCTCAAGATTGTACGTATATTGCATGATTCCATATATCTTGATTGAGATATTGTCTTAACATAGCTATCTAATAATTCATGGCCCAAATTGAACAAAGTTTAAAACAAGAGGTAAAATTGAAATATTAGGGATCATATGACATTTTAGAACCTTAGAAATATATAACAGGTGTGTATAACCAAAGAAAACATGATGTATGAAGATGGAAAGAGTACAATATCGCGTGTATTGGGTTAGAGAATGCATGGCTCACTTGAAGTTGTTCTTTCAGCGACGGATGCAGGTATCCTTGTGATCTCTCTCTCTCTCTCTCTCTCTCTCTCTCTCTCTCTCTCTCTCTCTCTCTCTCTCTCTCTCTCTCTCTCTCTCTCTCTCTCTCTCTACTTTGGTTTAATTAAGCTTTGTGAGGGCATAAACAAACGGGGAGTCCCTTCGCAGACATCGGCATCGGGTCAACGACAATCTTCTCTTCCGGAGGCAACTTCTCCCACTTGAACCTCTTCACCAGATTGTGCATGAACACGAGTATTTCCAGGCGAGCGTACTCCTTCCCTAGGCACATCCTCGGGTCGCCCTCGAAGGGCACGAATGTGTACAGCGCCGGCCCGTCCCCTTTGAACCGGGTTGGGTTGAACTTCTCCGGCTTGGGGAAATACTCAGCGCTCTTGTGGGTCGAGTTCGCTCTCCAATAAATTTGAGGGAATAATTCAATCCTAAGTGTCATTAGTTTGATTGTCGAATTACAATTTCGCTAGTTAATAGATGAACAAGCACTGAACGGGAAGGGGTTGTGTTTACCTTCCATCCCTTCGGAATGGAGAAACCATTGAAGATGAAGTCGTTGATGACTTCCCTAAACGTGCCCTGGAGAGGAGGAGGGGCGAACCTCATGACTTCACAGGCCACGTTCCACGAGTACTTCATCTTCTGAATATCGTCCCAGTTCAACAACTCGCCCGGAGCTTTCGACTTCGCGATCTCCATTTTCTCTGTTTATCGCATGATTGCATACGAAGAAATAAGAGTCAGTACATATAGATTGATATGGACGAAGGCATAGATTGTTTGCTGCTTGTTAGACAAATCTGGGAGCATCTTTACGAGTTTTAATATACCTTCGTATTTTAAACAATTTCAAATAAGAAAAAATTGTCACATGGGTGTCTGATTCACCAATTAATTTGGTGACATTAATTAAAAAATAATGATTAGAGAGTTTAAATGTAAAAAATCTCCTCCAAAAAAATATAAGTTCAATTGATTTTTTGGATATTAAAAAATCAAGTTTAGAGCTTTTATTTTTTTTTAATTGTAGTTCCTCCAAAAAAATTTCTATCTCCTAACCTATGTATATTACTTATATTACTCGGATCATAATATTTACGTGGATATACCAGAAAAACATATATTGAAAAAGAAAATGTTACCCTATGTGGGCAACAATAAAATAAATGTGGGATCATATTATCGATCAGTATGATAAAATTCTTCCACTTGATCCTAACATTTCATCAAACGAAATATTGAACCAAATCCATAAAAACTTCATGCTGAAGACAAAACACATGAATCATGACGATAAGATCTCTTAGAATGAGTATTATCTTCCATGTATAACAATGTATCTTATCTCTTCATAATCAGTCCATATTTGATAACATAACTTAATAAATAAATCTTATGTTTATTCTTCGTCAAAAAGTTATTGTTATTCTCAGAATAATTGAATGTGTAAACCAAATTGAGAAAAATTTCACAAATGAATAAGAGTTTCACAAATTCGTCCATATGAAGAAAATTTAAACGATAGGACCAATTCTCATCCTAACCACATGATCCTTATAACTCATTGGTAGCATGCTTTTAGTTAAAGGATCAACTAACATTAATTCAATGCTAATGTGTTATATGACCACTTTATTCCCTTTAACACTTGATGTTGTTGTGCTTGCTTTGACTACCACTTTTGTTGTTTTTAGCCATGAAAATCGCAACTGAATTGTCACAGAATATCTTTTATGGCCTAGCAATGAAAACCACAACTCTTAGCCTTGATATGAAACTCCTCCAGGAGACAGCTCTTCCAGCAAACATAAAAATGTATTCAAATGTTAATTTTCGAGAATCAATGCAACCAACAAAGTCCGAATCCAAATAACTAACTACCTACAGGTTGTTAGTCCATTTATACATAAGCATGTAACCCTTTGTAGCTTGAAGGTACATCATCGCCTTCCTCGCAGCTCTCTAGTGGTCCACACTTGGATTACTCTGATATCTTCCCAATATTCCCACGACAAAAGTAATGTCAAATCAAGTGCAAACCTGAGCATACATCAAGCTTCCGACAGTTGAAGCATGTGGGATGTTTTTTATTTGTTCCCTTTCTAGATCTTTCTTCGGGCACCAATTCAAATTGAACCTTTCACCCTTTACAACATGTGCTATACTTGGTAAGTAGGGTTAGCGGTTGTGGTGCCCAGAATTAAATTCACATGTTATCAATAGAGAAGTTGCATTCGACGAGTCTTCAGTACTTTTCGTTAGGAGTGTTTTTGACAGTGTTCACACAAATTTGGATAATGTTCAGCTCAAGGTGGAGTTGCAACAAAAAACTCTTGAGGTAGCGTGTACTAGTAGAGTAACCGACACAGATGTTACCTGTAGCGAGGTGGAGCCTAAAGAGCATATAGTTGTTGTAACTACTGATATTTACAAGGTATGTATTTGGTCTCCTGACATATACGGACGCAACAATGGTTTTGTTTTATTCATGGTTGAGGAGGTTATGTTGGAAAATCTTTGTAGAGCAATTAAAAGTGCAAGTAAAGTTGGTGTTTTGATGAGGTTCACGATAATGACGATTTTCAAGTGAGGTTTAGACTTGGAAGATATCTCTGGCAGTTAAGTCCATATAGGGCTATGGGAGAGTAGCTGTGAAGTTCATATTATGGTGAAGTGATTGTGACCTAGTTCAAACATCTAGCCAAGTATGTCTCGAGTTTGAATTTTAAAAAGAAAGTATCCTAAGTCAAGTAGGTTTCCTATTTTGAATAGATTTCCTAGTTTGGAAAGGTTTCCTATAAGAAGGTTTCCATTTTCGATCATGCTCTTGTCTATATATAAGAAGTGTGATTTCTTATAGAGCTTCTGCTTGTGAATTACACCCTGAAGAATACGAGTGTGTTGAAGTCAATTAAATCTTGCGAGTAAGATTTGTGAATTTTTTTATGAGATTGAGAGGTTATTTCGTGAGAAACTGCGGGACTAAATACTGTGTGAATTATTGGGTGTAATTGGGGGCTGAAAAATACTGAGAGTGTTGTAATCTCTTTTGTATCAATTGATTTATAGTGAAATTCGTTTCTTTCTCTTTGTGGACGTAAGTCGCATGACTGAACCACATAAATCTAGTGTCCGATTTATTTTCTTGTTCTATCTATTTTATTATTTGATTGTTTGCTTAAGCAACAAATAATATTTAGATTTTAAAGCTCAAAATATTTTTAGACAAAATTACTATAGTTTTTAAAATATTTTGAGATATAACATAATTCACGATCCGAGGACGTCATCTCCAGCTTTCAGATTCGCGGGGACGGACTCCCTCAGCACTTCGACCGATGGTTTGGCTTCATACAATTGGTTAATCTAGTGCAGGTATTTAAACAAGTATAGTCGGACCCAAAGAATTCATTAATTTATTTCAGCAAAAAAAACAACGATAAAAACTTTTTTTGTTTTATTTATCAGATGGTTGCGGGTATTTAAACAAGTAGAATATGACCTAAACAATTAAAATTCATAAATTTATTTCAGCAGAATTACAATTATGAAAGCATATATATTTTTTCACTTTTCAAATGATGATTTTAGCGTTAGGACGGACCATTCAATTATGAAAAGCCTAGTTTTAATCCAGTATGTAGCGACTACACTTTTTTTAATTTTCTACCTAGTATTATATCGATAAAAATTATATTTTAAAGGTGGTTAAAAAACCCCTTACCTAATGCTACAGTAATTTCATTGATTCGTTAACTAAGATTGCTTGCAAAAACATTTTTGAAATAAGATAATAGGTACCGATGAAATCTCTTATTCGCAAAAGTAAAATATTATCTCACATTTTACTAATCAGTCTATAATATATTACTGACGACTCCTAATTGAATTAAATTGTATGATTAAATTAAAAGTTCGAAGTTGCGATTAATATGTGCTTGTAAGAGTCCTGTGCTAAGTATTTACGAGTAATCCATTAATTTTTCCTCGGTGATTATTTTTGGGAAGGTCACGCCAACCCGGTCAATTGGACCATCGGACCACCACTCCGGGACAGTAAGCCACGCTTGGCTTCACGTTGCGCCACGGACTCGCACGCGTTGGCTACGTGGGAGTTGCGTGTTGGGCTTCAAGACGCAGCGTGCTGGGCCCGCATGGAAATGCGATGGGCTCATGGACGGGTGTCCTGGGCCATGAATCAGGCCCTTTTTCAAGCCCATCTCCTTGCGTCTCATGCGTGTTGCACACGGCTCGGTCAGCACTTGGGCACGTGCCCTGAAGCGCCAGCGTGTAAAATATTTTTAAATTTCAAAAAAATAATTTTTTTATTAACACTTTACCTAACTTAAATTTTCCATTCGATGTCCGATTGATCCGATTATTAAGCCCACAAAAGCTTGTGACCAGGATGTTCTGAAAAATGTATGGATAGTAGGTTTCGAGAATTGGGCCGAACGAACGACGGTGGTGACATATTATGATATTTTTTTCGTTAAAATTTGGTTGACATGAGTTTCCCAGTGTCAGAAACCTTAATATTGATCTTTTCAAGGTCAAATTAGTCGATGGGGGCAGACATCTAATTTTTTAAAGAGAGATTTTGATTGAAAATTAGGTTTCTGCACTTTCAATCGTGAAGTCGATGGATTATTAATATTTTAGACACTACACGATTAAAAGTGTAGACATGTAATTTTTTTACCGAGATTTGAACCAAATTTTGGCGAGAAATCGCTCATCAAAGCCTCCATGGAGGAGTATAATTGGGTTGTGCTTTGTGATAACTTTCCAACGATACTCAATCTGCCCAAATAAGACGGCCAGATCGCTAGATATCGCAATTTTAAACCGTGTTCATCTAATCTCGATGGGGACGGGATCAATATTTTCATAGTCGGCTAATGAAATCACGTCGATTTGGTCATGAGCTTCCCAACGCCTCGATAATCACTTTAATGGGAGTTTTCTCAAACGGAGTATCGTGAGTGTTCATCTCGACTAAACTGTTTGGCCCGACTTGCAGAAATCTGCGTTCTTCACGAATTTTTAGAAATCAGACCATATTTCTGGAAAAGTTTGAGACGCGAGCGGGTGGTACAAATTGAGTTGACCGGTTCCTCGTCGTCTTGAGTTTGAAAGATTGACATGTGTGCATAGGACATTGCTCTTTGATTATCATTAATTTGTGTGTATAGGAGACGCTTAGATAGAACATTTTAAAGCTATATAGAGCAAACGCAGGCATTGCCTATGAAAAGTACCACCTCCAAACTGCACCACGGAACATAGAAATCTGGGCAGGAGATAGTAATCCCAGCTAAGCCAGGTAACTAATAAGAGGTACTTTAGAAAAAGGACTATAAGAGGAGAAAACAAAACAACGAGAAACAGGGAATGTCAACTGTACAGAAGTTATTCAACCGACCTGGCATACTTACAAAGCTGAATTGGTACGGTAACAAATGATGCGTATGCGTTTCATGTGGACCTCACCAGATCGAACTACCAAGATGCAGTTTTAGTGCGATACACCACGACTGTGAAATAATTTGCCAATTCATATAGGTCTACGGAGAAGCAGTACATCGGTCCATGGGAAACACAGACGGAATAGCATTCGCTCACCCAATCTTAGTCGTTGGTTTTGTGCCCACATGCGTGTCCATGTTCGTCCGACTTTTTTTTTTATTTGAGATCGT